ATACTGTTAAAGTAATAGTAGCTCGCCCGGAATCAGTAGCTCTGCTAACTGCGAGCCACTAAGGCTCATAAATCTATTATATATTAATAAAATTTACTGTTACTGTTACTGTTGTCTTTGAACTAGAATTAATTTTGGTCCAAAAATTCACATTCTGGTTGTGAAGTGTAGAATATCATAGTAACAAGGACTTCACTGTAGGCTGTTCCAAGAAGAAAATAGTCTTGACGAGAGATCTTAGTTCGAAATCCTGCCTTGATAGTTTATAGTACATTTCCACTCACACCACTATTTGCTCACTGACAGTTGTCCACAACACTGCGCGCTTTTTCAACTTCTGAGTTATTTTTCGTCTTTTTAACCTACTGAAACAAATAAACAAAAAAAACAAAGAAAAAAATATATTCGGTGTTAGTGTTACATTACATTAACATTGCTAAATTCAAAGAATACATAAATATTACGGGGTAAAACTGGTTCACGTCCAGTGGCCTTATTATACTATTGCTAGGCTAGAGCGCAGCAGAAGCTCTTCAGGCTCTTCAGTAGCATTTGGTTGTCACCGACTGCAATTCAATTACTTCGAGCAGTTGAATTAGCTGCAGTACAAAGAATCATATATACAGCAGAAGTATCAGAGTCACGGACAGTGACTATAGTACCCCCTTCCCCAAACCTGGCTCCTGAAAGCGTTGTTTGCTTGTTTATATGCTCCACTTTATATAACGTACTCGCGTACAGCTGCAACTCCCTCTGATAGTTAATGCAAAGTCTTGGGAGTTGCGATTTTGGTGATTTTTCCAGATTCAGGATTTAAGGCCACTCTCGCTTTCTCTCTCTCTCTCTGTTAAGCATGTTCGCCATCTTTGTCATTCACTCGGCGTCTCTATTGTGGAATCCTGTGCATTAGCCACATTTCAATGTGGTGGTTGTTCGGGGGTGATTACATGGAGAATTTTCGGTCGGCCTCAGGCATAGAAAGCCCCAGACAGCCCACATAATCGGAAAAAAAATTATTCTGGGCTGAAAATAGAACAATTTGGCGTGAGTGGTGTTTGCGTTTAAAATCAAAATGACGGCTGTAAGGGATAAAAGGTCTCATGTCGGGTCCAAAGTCGTCATATAATCGCGACAAATTCCAGTCCCCTTTAATACCGGGTTGAAATTCTTAGACGTTTCGACTGGCGTCATCTATATAGCTAGTTCATCTGAGACTGACAACCTACTAAGTGACAAAATGTAAGCCCTCGAGAACACTAAGAATACAAGGTCCAAAAGCTTGGAACTAAGTTTGTGTTTATGGAAATGCATTTAGATATTAACAATGATTTAGTAATACATAGACAAGTAAAAACAAACGATATAATCTCCCGACGTTTCGGCGACCTCTTTATTCTCACGTCTGGACTACCCTCACCACCTTATCAACTCCATCATTAATACCTTTGTCAGCTCGAGAGTTGCTGACCAGCAGACCAGGCTTCGGGAAAATTGGCGGGAAATGATGTGACCC